GTTTCATACGAATTGGTGTGATATTGACCGAGATCATACATTTTTTGTTTTTTTTTGTTTTTTCTATATATAAAAATCATGTGATATAACGTAATTTCGACCATTTCAACCTTTCATTTCGACTTTAACCTCCAAAGTCGAAACATTTCGACTTTTGGGTTTTCATTTCGACTTCATGTATAATCATAACTATTAAATATTTTAAAATCTAATGATAGATCAAAATTTAATAAATAAAAATACTATCTACTTCTTATAATATATAAAAATTTAAGTTAATTTGAATTTCTATTTGTTGAGATTAAAAATAGTCACTATAATTATTTTCAAATTTCAATTGAGTTGCAACTTAATTATATCATAAGGAAATTTAATTACGTCACAAATTAAAACTCAATTGTGCCATTTTTTTTTTAATTATAATGTTCATGTTTACTAAGAATATTAATATAAATAATTGTATATAAATTTATTTTGATAATTTTTATAATTTATATAATATATTTAATTTTAAATAACCTGTGATTTAAATTAACTTATATTTTTATATGTTATAGAATTAGATTATATTTATAATATATAAATTTTATTCAAATTTTAATCATTGGATTTTGAAATATTTAACAATAAAACTTTAATATTATTTTTTGCAAAAGTTTATCCTTTTAATAGTTTTTCTTTCAAATTTAGAATGAATTTTACTTACTAATTAAAGATAATTTTAGATACATTAAAAATTAATTATTAAATCAATAATATTCTTATAATAAAATTTATAATATTTTTTAAGTAAAATTCCAAAAAAAATTATATTAATTAGTAATTTTTTACATTAATTTAAGATCAATATTTTAAATAATTTTTAATAAAAGTATTTTCTTTATAAAAGCTTAAACTTTATAATTTTTATTTATTTTTTATATTATTTAAAAAACTTTACAAAATATATGAAATTATATTTAAAACATTTATTTATATATTTAAATATTATTTATTTATAAAAAAATCATAAATTTAAAGTATATTTTAATTATTAAAAAATGAAATTTTATTTAAAATAATAGATTTATAATAAATTTTATAATATATTTTAAATAAAAATTAAAAAAAAATTGTAAGCTTCTATGTAGAAGTTTGCATAATAATTTATTAAAATTATAACTAAATTTAAATAAAATCATTATCATTTAAAGGATAAATTTTATATTATTATTATTTTAATTTTCTTATTAAATGTTTAAATAATAATTAAAATTAGCATCTATAATATATAAAACTTTTGTTAATTATTAAATATTAAGAAAATTTATATTAAAAATATTAAAAAAAATATGTAAACTTTTAGAAACCCTTTGTATTATTATAATAATATTAATAATTCTAATAAGTTACCAATAAAAAAAAATTACAACCTAAAATATTAATAATAATATTATTAAATATTATAATAGTAAATATTATAGAATAAATTCTTTCAAAAATTAAAATAGTAAAATAAAAATAATTTGATTAATTAAATAGCAGATTATCATCTTTTGCCATTTTTTTTAATTTTTAAAATTTTTTATATATTAATTAAAATATTTAGATTTAAATTTAATTATTCTAAATTTAATTTTAATTATCTAATTGATTTAAATATAAACTCACTAATTATAATAGAATTATCTAATTTTTTTTAAGTAATAGTTTTTCAAGTAATATTAATTATACATGAAATTATAATTTAAATCCAAAAGTTAAAATATTTTAACTTTAGAGGTTAAAGTCAAAATAAATGTCAAAATACATTATAATAGTCAAAATTTAATATAATAGTTGATTAAAATATATTAATGCTTAAAATATATTATAATAATAAAAATAAATTTTAATAGTTAAAATATATATTGATAGTTAAAATGTATTATAATAATTTATAATAATTAAATTGCATTATTATAGTTGAAATTTATTATAATAATTATAATAGTTAATTATAACAAATATTTTATAATAAATATATCTTTATTTTTTATAATTAAAATTAGAAATTTACTATATAATACTACTAGTGTTTATTACTAGTATCACATGTTTTATATGTTTATATTACATGTGTTATTTGTCCTTCTATATCAGCTATCACTAGGAATAATTCTTTTTGCACGTATTCTGCTAAGTTATTTTACTATAATAAGTAAGTTCCTTATTGTTAAACTTTATAACCTTAGGGAATTTTATGTCTTACAGGTATTTAGAATACCTTAGAATTACTTACTTTTCTTAACTTTACAAACTTAAAGGTTTAAGAACTTAGAAGAAACTTAGAAAATTTATTTATTCTAATAATAAACTCAAAAATAAATTAGTGTAGTAATTTACGATCAAATTCTAGATGATGAATATGTAGAAGAAAAATGTAATTATGTTGTAAAGTTGATTCTTTTATTTATTATTTAAAACTTATAAAAGAGTTATAAACTAGTAATTGAATTTTTAAACTAGCAATTAAGTATAAATTGGCAATTAAATTAATTTATAACTTGAGCAAAAAGATATTCTATCTATACAAAATTAATTTGCTATGATTAACTAATTGCTATTGTTATAGTCAGTTCTTTATATTACTTAAATATTATAAGCGGACGGATAATATATGTGGTAAGCAGAAGGTTTAATTTATAGTTGAGATTGAATAAGATCGTAAGTATTAATAGTTTATTTGATATATACTAATAAATGAGTACTGCCTCAAACATCAGCGCTTCTATACTTTACAAATATTCTAAATAATCAAACTAAACTAATCTAAACTATTCCTATAAGTCTTTACTTAAGTGAACTCTCTAAATCTTCAAGGATTCTCAACTCATATTTATATAAAATAAAAAATATATAATCGTTAACAACGTTAAATAAATAAATTAAATATAATTGATAAACTACGTTAAATAAATAAAATAAATAAATAAGTTAAATAAATAAACTTAATTAACTAAATAAATAAGATAGACAACGTAAACAAGGTTAACAAGATTAATAGTATCTAAGGATCTATATTAGAAAGATCATCCTAATGATTTTTTGTGTAACACTATGCTATAAACTAATTAAATTTGTAATTATAATTGCTAATATTAAGATATAATGAATATATAAAATATAAATAATATAATAAATATAATAAATATAATAAAAATTTAAAAATAATAAAAATAATAGAAATAAGTGAAATTAAAAATATTAGACTTTTAAGTGATATATTAAAAATCAGATAAATCAGTAATTATACAGATTTTCTAATTTGTGATCAATATAAATTAATTTTAGTAACTTCTGTAAATCAATTTTTTAATGATGAATTTTTAGCTAGTGACAATGCTTTTATGTTTTTATTTTTATATATTTTAGGGATTTGGAATTTTTTTATCACTAAAAAATATTTGTTTCATTCCCTCTTAAATGTCACCGGTCACCGGTCATATAATATAATAAAAACATCAATTACTATTGGTTGATTTAACATTGATACTGATCAGCAATAATGATAAAATAGCAAACTTCTTTATTATATATAAATAAGTTTAAATAATCAATTTTAATAATTATTTTAATAAAATAAAATTATATATATTTTATATAATATATTTTTTTTTATTAAATTAAAATGATTTTTAATAATATAAAATCAACTTTTATATTAATAAGTAGTATTTCATAATTAAGCTATACTTATATTTTTTTTTATATTTATAAACTTGATATTTATAAATTAATATATATGGAAGATTTGTTAGGAAAATGGATTCTAAGAGTTTTTGACTAAGTTTTATTCTTATTGCATTTTAATTTAAATTAAAAATCAAAGTTTTATTTTTTAACAAACCTCTTATTATTAAATTTAAATAATACAAAATTAAATAATTTAATATATTGAATAATATTAATGTTAATATAAAAAAAATTCTAAATTATAAATGAAAGTTAAAAAAATTTGATTATTTTTAAGATTATACTGTAACTAATTTTAACCTTTTAATCAAATTTAGACTAATTGCAACTTAAATTACCACTTAAAATTGCAATTCTTTAATTATAATATTATCTTAAACTATATTTTCTTTTTAAAATTTAATAAAAAGTTATTTAGATCTGAATATAGTTAAAAATGCATTTACTTTAAATACTTTATGTGTTTTTAAAGAGATTTGATTTTTTATTAAATATATATATCTTGTTTAAACTGATTAATTATATCTACTTTATAAAAACTTTAAAAAATTCTACAGCCTTATTATGAAATAACCGTGTATTCACTATTTGAAGATTTATGTCATTATGTAATAGTTATTCACCACGTTACTGGCATAAATCCTCAAATAATGCCCGCTACTAAGCATTTATTACTATTTTCCCGATAACTCAGCACTACCTTACTTGGTATTTTCAATAAGCAATGTGATCAGTGAAAATTTGCTGTGCTTTATTGCAAATACAGATGCCGAGTAACTATTACTTACTATTTTTAATAATCTAAATAAACTAAAAATAAAGTTCTAAAGTAATAATTAAGCTTTTTCATATGAGATATAATATATTTTGTTTGTTATTAGCTAATCTTATAAAACTGCTTAAAGATAAATAATTTGGATAATATGTCATTCAAAAACCCTTTTACATACATACTATTTTACATACTATTTATAGTTTTGATCAGCCTTTTCTATTATTAGTTCATTACCACCCCACCAAACTTAAAAACGAAAAATCATACACAACACGAAAGGAAATTCCCTACTTATTGTTACATTCTCTTTTAGATAATATTTTAAAAAGGCTTTGTTGAATATTTGTATATAAATCCTGTATATAAGCAGGTCCAACTTCTCGTTACAATTGGTATAATCAATTAATCAATTTGTTATAAAAAGAATCAAAAAGAGCTAAATTATTTCAATGATTAACGAATTTTTCGTTTTTCTTATTTTTTTTAAAAAAAATATTATAAAATCTCCGAGATGAATCTATTAATTTTTGTGTGTATAATAATATTGTTGCAAAGATTTTCTTTGATCGTAAAAGCAGGTTAGTTAAAAGTATTGAGAACTTTTATTACTAAAATTGATATTTACTATTTATCTTACGCATATCAATATATAGATGAAGTCGAAATTGTTAATCCCCAAGAAAATACGGAAATCGAAATAAATAAATCGACTCCAATTGATTACGTTGTAAAACAAAATGGAATGGCAATATTAAAATCGATTCAATTTTCATCTTATGAATATAATACCAATCCTCCTCCCGAATGTTCAAATGATAATGTTGAAAACAATTCAAATAATTTAATTTATTCCAAAAATCTTATTGGATTAAAAAAATGTGCACTTATTTTGATAGAGAAAAATATAGCGAATGTTACAAGAGAAGTAGACTTTAAAGATAAATTAGAAGGAGAAATCAATTGGTTTGTTGATGGAGCAATGTATACAGTAGGAAAGCAATATTACATTAAAGTTTCTTTGGAACTAATATATAGAAATACTAAAGGAATTTGGGATAATTTGATGGTTGAATTTGTGAATGGGCCATTGCTGGCTAAAGAGATTCAAGGAACTGATGGTAAAGCATTTATCTTTTAATCTCCAACAATTTCCAACAATTAATTCTATACTAATTATAATGTTTTTTTAATCGTAGTAACTTCTGGCGCTAAACATCGTAAAAAAAGAAATTTCAATAATTCACGAAGTAAATAATATCATGTGTTAAGATTTATTTGTTAAAATACAAATTTGTGACACCTGCGACTAAATGCGACTCATGAAAACAAATTGAGCCCGTTCTTATCTTTGAAATATTGTCCATGTGATCTCATAATGAAATCAATCCGTTAAGCACGTGTGAGATGTTGAAACTACTACCGTCAAATTTCTTAATTAAGTTAACCGAAACCGGGGCCAATCTTCTTGTGGAAATGTGGAACTTGATAGCAAACAAATTTTTTTTTTTTTTTTACCGCCCCCATTTTACCATAATAAAAAAAAAATTTTTTTTTTATGTAACCTTGATTTTTGTAAATTACTTCATGAATACTTCAATAAATTTGTTTCATAGGAACGCCACTTTACGAAATAAAATATTTTTACTCTTTAACGCCTTTGAATTTAAAAAAAAAAAAAAAATTTATATTAAAAATTTAAAAAAAAGTAATGACAAAAGTTACAAAGCGTAAGAGAGTAGAAGCTCATGACTTTAATCAAAACGTCAAGATAGAAAGTTCTGCTTCAGGAGATGCATCAGAAGAGGACAATGATACGCTTGATACGGCTTCTTCGATATCTTCCATGACCCCAAGTATTGCTGCACCGTCGTCAAAGAGATCAAAAAATGAATTTACCTCTATTAATGGCGATGTTAATGCGAGTGCTCCTGATTCCGACATGTTGCCAGAGCCTTTATGTGATCGAGATAAGGTTTTATCCGAAAAAGAAAAGACGGAACAACTTTCAAAGGAATACTCATTTAAAATAAACCCTCCACCAACTGATAGACCTGTTCGCATTTATTGCGATGGCATTTACGATTTATTTCATTTCGGTCATGCTAAATCGCTACAACAGGCCAAGAATTCCTTCTCCAATGTTTACTTGCTTGTTGGAGTGTGTGATGACGCAACCACCCATGCGAAAAAGGGGAAAACTGTTCTTAATGAACAGGAACGTGCCGAATCATTAAGACATTGTAAATGGGTGGATGAAGTGGTTGAGCATGCACCATGGGTAATTACCCAAGAATTTTTGGATCGTTACCGTATCGACTACGTCGCGCATGACGCGATCCCCTATACATCTGGTAACTCCTCAGATATATACTCCTTCGTCAAGGAGCAAGGCAGATTTCTTCCAACACAACGTACCGAGGGTGTCTCTACTAGCGACCTCATAACAAGGATAGTGAGGGATTACGATCAATATGTAAGGCGTAACCTAGAAAGAGGCGTCTCACCAAAAGAATTAAATATAGGTTTCCTAAAGGTGATTAATATATATGTGTCATCTCACTTTATTGATTTGTTTCAATATTCTCATACATCAACTTTTTTAGGCCAAGGAGATCAACATGAAGAAATCAATATCGGACATCCGATCATCAATTCATCAAAATTGGCATGGTACAAAAACGGAATTATCTAATGACTTCTCCGAGTTGAAAAATGATTTGGCACAAACGTTTGCCATTTGGGAAAATCGGAGTCAGGAATACGTTAGGGGCTTCGCAGGAATGTTCGGTGCTGAGAGTGTTGTGGTATGTTGAATTTAATTAATTGACAATTAAAAATTTTATAATACTTTATTGACATCATTTGTTTTAGGATAAAATTTTCCGTCGGCGCTCACAAGCCTCTGGATCTGAGGAAGAAAACAGAATTTCGTCGGATGAAGATCCGCTACACCAATCAAGAAGCGTTTCTCCTGTAAGAAGGGTTTTTGACTTTATCAAAAGGGAACCGTGATCAACAATAGCAAATGACGAGGGGTTTTTTTTATTTTTTTTTTTGTTTAAAAAAAAAAAAAATAAATTAAACTAAAATAAAATAAAAAAAAAAAAAATTTAAATGATATTATTATATAAACAATAATTTATTTTACATCATCCTATTATTCCTCCCTTTGTATTTATTTTAATATATATGTATATTATTAAAGAAAAAAAAAATTTAAACTATTGAATTTAGTTCGGAAAATCAAGAAAAAAACAATTTAAAATTATTATTGAAACTGAACATCACTTTTATGAATGTCTTTATTAATGACATGCATTTCTCACGTTTAACTAAAAATGATAGGGTTTATTTTTCCTAAATTTGATAAATGCCCCAAATTTTGTCATTTATTTCACATGGATGTAAACTTTACAAAGGTTGCACCTTGGTTGTGCGGTTGGGGTGGATCTGATTTAAAAAGTTTTGATATTAATCGATTAATTGCTCGAGTTCATGAACCAAAAATATGATTTCAGAAAAAATAGTTAAAATGTGTCAATATATAAAACGTTGGGGTTAATAAAAAAAGAAAAATAAACGAGATCAAAAAAATAAAAAATAATATAAATAATGGCATTTCTTCATGATATATCTTTTTTCTTTTCGATGGAGACCATTTATAATAATCACGTCATTTTTTCACTAGTACACATTTAAAGACTTTTATAAAAACTGCCAAAAAAAAGAACTTTTTTTTTTTTTTTACCAAGAATTGATCTACTTTTTTTTATTTGAAAGAAATACAATAATGTCGACATTAGATACTTTCTTTTCCAATTTATCTGCCTTAACAGGTGGAGCTTCCACAGACCATTTAAAAGTGGTATTCACATTACTTGCATCATATCCCGTTGCATTAATATACAAGTATTTACCGTCACGTTCTCCAACGTTTAAACACTTATTTTCTATAATTATATCAATTATAGTATTATTTTATGTTTTCGATTTAGCGAAGGCCTTTTATACAATGCTGGCAAGTTCTTTGATTACTTATATTATAATGTATTATGTAAGAGGAGATTGGGGTCCTAAATTAGTTTTCTTATGTTCCTTGGGACATTTAAGTGTGAAGTAAGCATTTAAGAAATTTTGTGCATCGTTACACGAACAACTGCATATGAAAAATTGTTTAACAATCAACTATAATTTTATGCAAAGTCATCTCATCCGGCAACTTTACGACATATCATATGATAGATATGATACGACAGGTCCACAAATGGTATTGGTTATTAAGTTAACTTCCTTCGCGTTCAACGTATATGACGGGCGAAGACCAATAAACGTTTGTATTATAATACGGATGGGTTGTGATCTCTTATCATTTTTGACATTTTAACTAATGATACACGTATTTTAAATCAATTAGGAATTAACATCATATCAGAGAAGCAAAGCAATTCCATCAATTCCATCAATTCTAGAATTTCTTGGTTATATATTCTTTTTTGGTGGATTTTTGGTTGGACCGGCATTTGAATTTATGGATTATCGTCGATTTACAAATATGGAAATGTTCCGTATCGAGAATAAAAAGCAGCAAGTTAAACTTGTAAATCCAAATAATAATAATGATAAATATCATGTACCGAATGGATTCATTCCTGCCATGAGTAAATTGAGTTTTGGTATTTTTTGGATCCTTTGTCTAGTAACACTTGGAAACAAATATCCATTTGATTGGACCGTAACTGAAGAATTTAAAAATATCTCCTTTTTGGATAAGTAAGTACGCTCTTTATTTCTGATTGGTTTGCAAGAAAATGTTTACTGATTTTATCTTTTCCCCTTCCCGTTAGGTTATTTTATATACAACTTGCATCTTTTTGCGCTAGGTTCAAATATTATATTGTTTGGTTGGTTGCTGAAGGATCATGTATTCTTTCTGGCTTAGGATTTAATGGATATGATGAAAACGGAAATGAAAAATGGTATTATATTATAAAACTAGCGCGTATTTATTTCGTGAATTATGTAATTGATATGTTACTTATTAACTTTTTTTTAGGAATCGTGTCTCAAATGTCGACATAATCGCTTATGAAACAGCCGATAATGTGAAAACTCTATTGGAATCTTGGAACATGAATACGAATAAATGGCTCAAAAATTACGTTTACATAAGAGTGACTCCACCTGGAAAGAAACCGAGTTTCGTTTCAACTATCACTACTTTTGGAACAAGTGCTATTTGGCACGGATTTTATCCTGGATATTATTGTAAGTTGAGTTGATTTACGTGCGTATTTTAAGGGATACTAATATTTTCGACTTGATTTTTATTTATGTTTATTATTTTCATTCCAGTAACTTTTATGAGTGGAGCATTTGTTCAAAGTATCCATCGAAGTAAGTAAATTAAAAATCCAACCTAACCTTTAAAAAAAAAAAAAAACTGAATAAAAACTGAATAAAAATTTTCTTTAAAATAGCTCTCCGTCGTCATATTCGACCAATTTTCTTAACACCAAGATTTTCATCACTAAAGCCATTATATAACTTTTTCGGTTGGTTGTTCACACAAACCATTATCCATTATATAATTTTACCATTCAACATTCTTTCATTAAACGATTCTTTAAATGTTTGGAAATCGATTTATTTTTCCGGACATATAACAATAGTCTTAGTTAATTTAATATTTTTGTTAGGTATTGGAAGAACATTTAAAAAGATTGTTCAAATTGGTGGAGGAATTGTGGATGAAGGAAAGAAAGATCAAATTAAAAAATGGAAAGTTGGAAGTAAGGGATTTGATGGTGAAGGAAAAATTGCTTTGACTGAAACCGGTATACCTTTGGAGGTTGATAATGATTTGGTGGGTTTTAAGGAAGAGTGAAAAGCATTTTGATACAATGTAATTATGTAACAATCATCGCACAAAAGGCATTCATTGCATTATCTCACGAAAAGTCACGTAGAACACATTTTATGGGAAATGATACATTTTTTTTTAATTGTCTTATACGCCAGCATGAGACTATATTTTAATAATTGCTTTTATTACAATCCTTATAATTATAAATAATTATAGTTATTTTCCTAATTATTGTAAAAATTTCAAAACTCATTTTCGACCAGCATTTGTAATTTCTGCTAGTGCCCGTTTTGTCTGAGAAAGTTCTTTGATTTTATTTAATCTCCATTCACAATCATCAGCAAATTCACATATCCTATATAGAATAAAAAAAATAAATATATATTAATACTTGTAATTGAATTATTTTTATTTTTTATTTTTTTGTTCACGAGTGTTACTTACTGACATTTCCATGCTTCTTCGATGGGAACACCGTCCGGTGTTCTATCACCTTTCCAATATTTAGCCGATTTCGTTAAATAATTCGTTATCTGATTCTCATCATATTCAAAATACAAAGAACCTATATCACTTCCATCCTTTTGATATTTATAATTAACTTCCAATGTATTACTCGATTTCCGAAATTTTCCAAAATTATTAACCACGATTTTCATAAGATTTCGTAAATTTGGTTGAAATCCCTTTTCCTCTCCATTATCAAAATTTCGAAATCTTTTAATAATATTGGCCAATTCACTAGAAAATTCTAAATCTGGATTCAAACAAAGTCTTTGATATATTATCTCATCATCAATTGCACCTTGTATTAGTGTATCAAAAAGTTTTTTATAAAGCATTAATTGATACTTTACTGATGGTAATATTTTTTTTTGATCCGGTAAAGATGGTCTTACACGAGTTTTTGTGTCAGAGATAGTCCATTCACCTTCACGTTTTTTCATTCCAACTTGATCAATTATTCCAAAAACAAAGAGGTCTGATACAAATCCAAAAATTGGTAACTCTCTTGTTTTATGGTTAAAGTCAAGTGATTCGAGTCCAACTATCACATTATATAATCTAATAATGAATTTAACGGGTTAAATTGCTTCAATAGATTTTTTTTAAAGTCAATATATAGTACAGTACATACTTGATGCCCCATAAGTCTTCTTTAGTCTTTGTTGGTATTGTAATAATGTCATGAACCTGTAATTCTAGTTCATTATGTATTTTCGAACCGGCTTTCATAGCCTTTGTTTCTTTCTTTCCGCCTACCATAAGAGCATAATGTTGTTGCATTTCACACCAGGCAAGTGAGGCAAAATCGGTAACATATAAAGCTTTAGAACCACGGAATTTTGCATAAGGTGACTTTTCTTCGTGAGACAAACTTGTATTATGATGATTATTGTTATTGTCAATAGAGGAGGAACCAGCTACTTTCGTAGAGTTGGTTTGGGCTTCCGATACTTCCCTTGCAAGTTTATAGTTTCGTGAAAATTTATTCCCGGGTACTCCTCTTATATTATCATTCATCCTTAAAGCTTTAAGTCTAGTAAATTTAATATAACTTTTATTATCAAATAAATTGTTTGAAGAAGGATTTCCTATCTCTTTATTACTAACACGACGTGTAATAATGAATTGACGAAGATATTTCAAACAACGCGTAAACATAAAAAAAATTTTTTTTTATGGAGAATGGGATTGTTATTTGATTTGATTGATTTTATTTATTGTTCTTGAGAGTAACAATAAACAAATTTGTAAAAAAATATTTATATGCGCAGGAAAGCAGGAAAAAAAAAAAAAAAATTCTCGTGTTAAATTTGCAAAACCCACTTTGCGCAATTCTGAAATGTATATTTTTGTCTTTTTTCTTTTCTCTTCTAATTTTGATATATAAATTATAAAAAAATTACGCTTGGAGTTTTACATAAAAATTTTACGTTTCCCCGCGACAAAAAAAAAAAAAAAAAGTCTTAATACACGTGAACTATCCAATCGATTGGTCTGACGCAATATCCAATGGAAAATCCAGCCACCCCGATGATCGATTAAGATTACATATGATTTCCGAGTGATTTTCAGTACTTGTCACCATTACTATATATTCCCCCACGTTTTCTTAAGAAAAAAAAGAATACGAATTCCATGTTCACTTTTTCTTTTTTTTTAAAAAAAAAAAGAAAAGAAAAAAATCAGTTGAAATTTGAAAGATAAGAAAAAGGTACTCAACCCTCCTCCGAATTCAAACTTTAACCAGTTTTTCTTTTTTTTTGGAAAAATGTTAAGGTTTATGATAAACCGAAAACCTTATGTTGTGATTTATTTTATAACTTTGTTACTATTCACTCTCTTTATTATAAGTCAAGTTAAAGCTGCTGAACCAAAATGTGAAGCGGTAACTCTTACACATGTTACTTTAGATAAAATCAGCACAGATGAAAATCCATTGGAAAATGTAAAGACATTATTGAGTCCAATTATTTTCATCATTAAATCAATTTATACTATAGTATCATACATAATTTCATTCATTCTTTATGTCTTAAGTCCAGTTTTTTGGATATTGGAAGGTTTATTTAATGTATTTATTCTAACACCTTATACTATTACGCAGAAAATATATTCATATTTTTATCCATTATTTATGTTTTTGGTCATTGCATCTATTTTTGGGATCCTTGTCGGTGGTATGGCAGGATGGTTTTCAGAAGTCATTGCTGGAGTGTTGACTACTCCTGTAAGAAATGAATTATCTTATGTCGAACAGGAAGATGAAAGAACGAGAACAGACAAATTGAAAAGACGTGCTCAAGTTTTAGCAAATATGAGGGCAAGAAATGGTGGAAGAATGCCCGATGAGTTTTATGAAAGATATATGAGCGCTCAAAATAGACAAGGAACGATACAACGAGGACAAAGTTTTCCTTATCAACAAAACAATAATATGGATTACAAAGGTTATACTGGTATAGGAGAAGATTAATTAGCAAGATATGTACCATTTTTTAAGTGTCGTAACATAATTTTATTGAACTTTTTAGTACATCTTTTACATCTATCTTTTACATGTCGAATAAATTATCACCCTTGTTGCACATATCCATAAATAGTCCACCCTTTATGTCTCTCCCACATTTTACGTTGAAACACTACATATTGGAGCACATTCTTAATTTTTTTGGGATCTCCTGCAATCAACTTTCCTGATTTATTATATAATCCTATACTCTATATATTAAAAGGCACGTGTGAGTTTTCATATAAGAAGACGAAGGAGTGAAAAAGAACGAATGGTAACGTAATAACCTGTTTAGTATGTAATTTTAGCGTTACTTGAGCCAGATAATTTCCAATCGGACTTATCGGCCCAAGTGCGCATCGAATATTTGTATATTTAGGCTTTTCAACGAGTCCATGATATTTCCATATGAATTTACCTTCCATATTTTTTATCTCAAATTTCATTTTCTTTAAATAATAAAGTTGAATTAGAGATCAAACACATTAAAAAATATGAATTATCATTTTAAAAGATACTAATTTGTGGGAACTTTACATTAAACATTTGATCATCTACTAGATTCTTCAATTCTTTTAAATTTTTTCTGTTAAAAAAAAACGTGAAAAATGTGAAACATTACGTTCAATACTTTTTTTAATTCATTTTTACCAGAGTTTATCAAACCAAACATACAGCGCGAACTGTTCGTTCATTTCAATGTACAGATCCAAAGCCTTGGATTTAAATTGCTTTGGTGACCAAAATTCTGCGGAATTATCTTTATATTCGGATGATTTTCTTTCATGGTAACAAAAATGAATAGCACTGAAGAAATCAACAAAATAAATTTAATATCTCGGTCGTTTTTTTTTTTGCCAAAGGGGGAAAAAAAACTTTACGATATAAAATTCTTCCATGAATTCCGTGCGTTTTTGGATAATATTTGATAATATTCTTTCGAGAAAATAGAAGGCATTTGTGATGGCTTCGTGTATGGATCTTTTTAATTATTATATATATATTTTTTTTTAAAAAAAAAAATTAAAGTTATACCTTTGATAATTCATATAAATAACATATATTACCAAGAATTCCAGGGTCAAACTCCGCAACAAATTTAGGATTTCGTTCTATTTCATCCCGTAATAATTCTAAATTTGTTTCTGCATCGGTAGCGTAGTTTCTTTGTACAAGTGATATTTTAGAAAAGGCGTTTGGGTATCGAAATAAATAACGAATATTCGATATGGTATTTGGACATAAATTAAAACGTGAGCCCAACATTGTTGTTGGATTTTGGATTTTTAGATGAAATTTTTTTTATATTAATAAGGTCCTATCATTACTAATTTAGGTCAATTTCCACCTGTGAAGGGATATAAAACCCGTTGTTGTTGATCTTTTCAAAGGGTATTATCTCCTCCTTTTTTCTACTCCCACAAGTCAAAAAAAAAATGAATCATAATATACCACCTGTACAAATAGGATCTTATATCACAATATATGACTTTTCTGAACAAAGTGGAATATTCGTTTCTCCTATCTTTGCAACTTCTTCACATAATTCCTGGTTCTTACGCATTGAGCTTGTAATAATTTATTTTCTATTAAAAAAAGCAAAGTTGAAAATTTATCTTAATCTCACTTTGCTTATTTTGATAATTAGTCTCATCCGGACGCACATTGCTTGACTGATTGCAATTGTGCTGATACATGTTTCTTGTCTGTGGCGGTGGTTCCAAATTGTTCTCCTATTTTCAGTTTAAAAGACGATATAAGTCAAGAAAAGCGTTGTAGAATTTCAATTTTCTTTCAGACTGATGATTTCGAAAGGGATCTGGTTGTAGTATCGCAAGTGATCGAAGTTTCCAAACTACAAAAGTTTGGTGATTATACATGGACTTTGTTTTTTTTTTTTTTTTTAAGAAAAAAAATAAAACTATTCTTATGACTTATTAGTGAACTTTTTTTACCTTTAATACTTTACATTTTTTACATTTTCTTAGGTTTCTCTTTTAAAGAAATTTGTTCCCGAAAAGAATTGAGCTCTAGATTATGTAAAGATACGTTAATTACCAAAGTGATTTTCGGACCAGAGGATCCCGAATGGTTACATAAATCAAAAAGATTAGGATATCTTTATGACAATGAATCAACTGCTCCAGATATTATATTTTGTGTACAAGGTAAACACATCTACGCACATTCAAGCGTTCTTAAAGACGTGGTTAGTTTACAGACCAACCATGAATTCCAAGAGATTCTAAGACGTGGAGCGGATCATTGTCAATCCTGTGAAGGTCAAAAGGGGTATAATAACGTGATGACAAATTCAAAACAATCACATGAAAGAAGATTCTTATATGTTGATATACCTATATTAGAAATTTTAACTTTTGAAACCATTCTTTATTTTTTATATACTGGTATAGTTTGTATTAATAACGTTTCAGATATTCTTGATTTATGTACTTGGGCTAACGAATTTGGATTAGATGAATTAAGTGAAATAGCGAAATCAGACCTTAAATTTAGATTAGACAATCATAATGTTTTTGAAGGATTACTCGCTGTCGGACCTCATTGGAAAGATCTTAGAGATGAAATGGTTATTTATATAGCGAAAAAATTTCCTTTAGTTCAAGCTACACCCGGATTTAAAGGTGCTATGATGAATTTGGATAGATATCCCGGTTCTAGAGAAATTTGGTCGGAAATTACTGATACGATAAAAAAATTTGGCAACGCTTATTATCTATCTGTACCTCTCATATAATTTTTTTTTTCTCCTTTTTTTTTTCCTATCTCTTTTTTTTTGTTTTAGGAACGAACATGATTTAGAAATTCTATTAATAATATATATTATTATTATGAATAAAATTGTATTATAAAAAATTTAGAATAACAATTTGGCGCCAAACTATATTTGGTTATAAACTAATCGTAATGGTGTATTGTAATTAATATTTTAAGCAACTTTTAATTTACCGAATTTGCGTAACCGATCACCTCAAAAAAAATTTGTACGTCCCTAAATATCGAGTTTTCTTTGACATCTTATACCAGCTAGTGATGATTTTTTTTTGTAATTAGATATTTAAAACATTAAGATCTAATTCTTTCAAGAAAGTAGAACGATCAATATCAATGTTAAGGGCCCATATGGGCTGCTAGAATACATTTATCCTGAAATTTTCGATTTTCTTGAGTTCTCATTTTTACTTTTCCCATTTTTATTTTTTTCAAGATCTGTATTCTTATCATGTCTGACTCACTAAAACTAAAAATCCCAAAGAAAAAACTCAACCGTGATATGCGAACTTTTCATATACACTTTCCCAATACACACATTGAACCACATAAAAAAAATCATTCTTGATACAATAATGTATGGGCCTTTTGGATCGAATTCGATTTTTATTAATACAATAAAATAAATTATTTGTTTACAAAGTGAAATGGTGTTTCGATACAAATGCATATTGGACCAAAATAGTTTTTTGTTTGTCTAACTATCCATTCCCAATCATTCGATGTTCTGGATAAACATAAAATGTGTTTTCGGTTATTCTATACGAGATATGCATAACAAAGCAACACCAGGAATTACTTGCCTTTCGTGATATCTTGGAAGGGCTGTACAAACGCATTGTCCATTCCCAAAAGTTCAGAAGTTGTTTAATTGCAAAGGCACAGCCACAACCAATATTCATATATTATTTGCGTACCGAATGACTCGTCCGAACTTCAACACTTATTTTCAAAATTTGATACTTTTAGGCAGAAAGAAAATAATTGGGTCGTTATGGTCGCAGTAAGTAAAAAAAATCAAATGATTTGTATATCTGTTACACCAAATTCTGCGTACTACGTCCTTAATCACGAGTCAAAGTTTATTTTTATTATTCATCAGATAAGTATAAAAATACTCAAACTTTCCATTTATCTCTCATTAGAATCTTTCTCCTTCTCCTAGATTTTTTCTTGACTTCATAAATCTTTAAATTACACGATGATGTTCAATACTATTTCTCTTTTTCGCTGCCAACGTTCACCAATCATTCAAAATTTAAACCATCGTAGAATCCCAACTTTTGCTCGTGGTGCGTCTTCTATGATTTTTATTTTTATTTTTATTTTTTTGTTTTTGTTTTTGTTTTTCTAATTATCATTTTTTTTTATTTAATTGTTTATTTAGAATTCAAAAGATATAATTCTTCTGGCGTTGCGAATTCTAGTAACGCTATGAATACTAAATCTCACGAAAATATTGATAATCGCATAATGGATTTTATCGAATATAGAGTTACGAAGGAACGAAATAAAGCACTATGCTATCTCGTTGGCGTCTCATTCTTTGCTGGTATTGGTGCGAAGACATGTTATGATGGAATGTATGGGAAAAAGGCGGAGGATTCGGGAAATAATTAATTACTGAATCAATTCTATGTAGCTTTGTCAAGTTTGCTGCTAGGAAAAAAAAAAAAAATCTTTTATACTCTGATTTTATTTTTTACAAATTTATATTTGCTTTTCGATTGTACTAGAAAATAACATATTTTAAATCTTTAGTTTTCAAACGAGAATAGTTATTTTTTCTTTTATTATATATATATATATATTTTGCAGGTGAAAAAATGGATTGAGAAATAAAGAATCTCTTAATAAAAATGAATGAAATAATTAAAGCATAAAAATTAAGTCTGTTCTTAATAATGAACCCTTTCTTCCTTAATATTTCTTCCATAAAACCCTTGTACCGTAGTCTTCTTAATTTCCCCCCTCAGCGACTTGAATAAATTTTAGTCGTGTTGGGAGTTAATTTACTTATAATATACGTTGACGGTTATTATAACTATATGTATATGTATAGCACTAAATTCTTCTTTTACTTAGCTACTAATTCAAGAAGAAAGATATGGCCTTTCCGAATATTGTATGAAAGAATTAATCCACTCTGTTTGTATACGGTTCATAATAAT